TTTATTTTATACCAACTGAGTGAATATATATATATATATATATTTCCCTTTTACCTAAAGATATTTTTGTGTAATTTAGGTAAATATATCTGTTAAATGAGATGTCAGTGTTATTTTGATTTTTTTCATAATTTAGACAGCGATTAATCCATCACACCCTATATATATATATATATATATATATATATATATATATATATATATATATAGAGAGAGAGAGAGAGAGAGAGAGAGATTATAGCCCAAGCTATCACATCTGGTCCGGTGCTTCTGCTATGTATTTAGAAATTCTTGATAAAATCCAAAGAAGAATCTGCATTGATATCGGTCCTGACCTGGCATCTCGGCTTCAGTCACCTTTTCATTGCCATAACATATCTTTCCTGTGTTTTTCTAAATATTTTCATGGTAATTGTTCTGATGTACTTTCCTCATTAGTGCATTAACTTTACAAATTTAGTTGCAGTACTAGATTATCAGCTACGTCTCATCATTTTACAGGTGAAATTTCTAGATGTAGCCGTAAGTTCAATGCTAAAATTTCTTCTCTAACACTTTCAGCTTCTTGCTTTCCAGTCAACTTTGATGTTAAAAAATTTAAATGCAACAATGTCTTTTCTACAAATATTTTCATGGCAACTGCTCAGACGAGCTTTTTTCCCTACAGGAATTTAAGCATGCTACTAGATTGGCATCTAGATCTCACTCGTTTACTGTTGAAATAGCTAGATGTAACCGCCACTTCTACTCCAACAGTTTTTCTTGCACTTCCCGCCTGTAGAACTCCCTTCCATTTACTTGCTTCTCTGATAACTACAATCTTCAAAAACTTAAATGCAACACTAATCACTATCTTCTGTCTTCTTGAATCCTGTTCATCTTTTGTCCATTCCTCAATCCACATTTGAGTTGAGATGATATATTTGATTTACAAGTTGATAGTTTTTATTTATAATCTGACGTTGCTTATTTCATATTACTTTAATGTTAGATTTAGTAGAGCCATGTGTTTGAGTTTTTTTTTAAACTGCGTAAATTTATATCTGCCACCCTGTGGACTTGAAAGTCTTAATGAAGAGGATATATCTTCCGGTAATGTTTAACAATTACCCTTTTCAGAAACACATATCTCTCTTTTGGATCTCTTGATGTCCATATACTACTTTTGATATTCTGAGGTAACACTGAGCAAAAGGTTTACTGGTATTTCTCAGAACAAACGCAGTACATATTGTGGTCACCACAGATCAACTCTTACATCGAAGGTTCCTGATAGAGATTAAATTCATTTTTGGTATTTTTCTAGTTGGTTGGTTGTTTTATGTCATATCAACCTCAGTGGGTCATTTAATGCCAAGAAAATTTTTGAAATAGATTCATAGCAATAGTTTGGTTTGGTTTGGTTTGATTTGTTTTATGGCATATTTCAAAAAAACTATTGTTGGTAATATTTTGTTTTGTCCTGGAAAAATGTAATTTTTTTCAAAAAAACTATTGCTGGTAATTTTTTCCTGAAAAATGTATAACTGGTAATATTTTTTTCAAAAATATATTGCTGGTAATAATTTTTTTCTTCAAAAATTCATTGATGGAAATAATTTTTTACAAAGTATTTCTGGTATTAAAACCCATTTTCACACTTTCACAGTGCTTTTTACCCCAGATTTGGGGGCCAACCATTTGCCCATATCTGGGACCCCAACAGGTGCCACCACCCTGGGTAAAGGCAAACCTGGGAACACCAGCAATCAAGAGGTTGTTCTACGCTCCTCAAAACCTCCTGATCAGAGGCCTTGTTGTTGGACATAGTTTATCATCTTACCCAGGATGCTGATGTACTTTATTGTCATACCCAGGACAAGGTAGTTTTCTGGTGTGAATCACATACTACACATGTATGCTCTGTGGCTTTAGATCATTCTTCTTGGTTGGCCTGAGACCTTTCCAGTACCAATCTTTATCATGAGAGCAAATTAATGTTTTCAAATATTGTTTCCTAAGTCCTCTCTCTTGATATAAAAGATTGGCACGAAGAGACTCTTTCTTGATAAAACAAAACTCTGGTCAAAGTAAATCCTTATACAGTATCTTCTCAGGACCGAACATTGCTATTATAATCTATATTTGATTAGTTTTTCTTCTATCTTATATTTGTTGCTCATTACAGTGGCATGATGGATAGCAGCTTGGATTGTGAAATCAGAGAGCCGAGTTTGAATTCCAGTCAAATCTATTACATTCACTTACGTGCTAATATCCTTGGTAAAGCTATGAATCCTCTTCTTCTCCTCCCTGCTATGGGTAAATAGCAGGACAGACTGGGTTCTATAGCTTTGGATGGCAACTAGTCTACTGCAGAAAGAAATGAAAACCTACTGTGGGAAAAAAAATCTGCCTCGTCAGTCATGTATCGAAAGATACATGATCGCCTAAGCATGTATCACGCATGGCACATAACTGACTGAGTATTAATAGATATAATAGTCTGGTTCAAATTTCTTAGATTATTATTATTAATCTTTACTTGGTCTCTATTTCATCTAATTTCTGTTGCCTGCTTATAGCTATAGTAACAGTAATAGATATAATAATCTTGTTTGAATTTCCTACATAATTATTATTCATCTTGGTCTCTCTTATCTAATTTCAGTTGCATGCTTATACCTAGTAGTAGTAATAGATATAATAGTCTTCTTTGAATTTCTTAGATGATTATTATTAATCTTCCATTAGTCTTTCTTTCATCTTATTTTTCTTGCTTGTTTACACATAACAGTAGCAATAGATGTAATAGTCTTGTTTTAATATCTCAGATGATTACTATTAAAACACTTAGTAGTAGTGAAAGACACAAATGTCTGAAGTAGTCATTCTTAGATAAGCAATTGTAATTATCATCAATTTTGGAAAGTTTTTTGTTTTATATTGTATTTTTGTGTTGTTGTTGCTTACACCAACGGTTCTTCTCCAGCATCACTTTTGCATAAGTTGGTGCTCCCTATATTAAAATTACACTGGTAAATGGAGCAAAGTTAATGCAATAATATGAAAGTCATGTATTTATATTTTGTTTCATAATTACAGCACCCATCACTGAAAGTTTTTTCTTTTTTTTTGTAAACATCGTAACCCTGTACAAGGCCCAAGAGCCACTCGAGGTAGAGGGTTACAGAATAAGAGACACTACCCCAAGCAAGAATCTGATGCCACCAATAAACAAGGAGCTGCCGGAAGTGAAGGGAAAGGCTTTGGAAGGAATCAGAAATCCTATTCTAAACAGGAAACCTCTACTCCTGTTCAAAAGATTGGGAAGGAGTGTGGACCAAACAAATGGCAAACCTATCTACTCCTATTGAAAAAAACAAAATAAAATTTCAGAATGGGGGCAGAGATGTTAGAAGCATAGAATTGAAGTAGAATTTAAAAGGAACTGGAAGCACAATCCTAAACAGGAAAGAAGGGATAAACCTCTACTCCTGTTCAAAAATAAGCTGGGGCAAGAACAGTCAAACAGTACTCACTGGGTGAGTCCACAGAAGTTGCTGAATTTTAGCCTTTAGCTTTTTTTTTCTCTACACATACTGACATTTCAGATAAATGTTTAAAATACATCTAAAAATGTAAATTTAAAGACAAAAAGATAAACAAATCCATATATGGGTCTAAAATTTAAGTATTTTTAATGCCTTGTTAAAATTATAGTCCCAACCATAACTCCCTTCAACACTCACTGCCTCTTTAAGAGTTAATAATGCCTCCTAAGGTTCAAAACTGCTCACATTAAAAATTACATGCTTACACCAAGCATCAACATTAGTTAGAATAGTTTGAATTTATCAGAATTCCTTAGAATAAATCATTTTCATCATTATTCATTTTTATTTACGTTTTCTTTCATTTCATTTCTGTGACCTACCTACTAGGGTCAGCTGAAAAGTTCATAGGCTGACCAAGATATAAACGTAAATAGACACACCAGTTAGTAGACTAAAATTGGGTAGCTGGTACTCCTGGGGCCGTCGATAGCTGTGCTAGCACAAAGTCACATGTCATCGTGGCTGAGGGTTTGAGCATGCTGGCCTTGTTCAAATTGCTGATCATGCTTGATAAGACACACTTTCCCAGAAATTGTAACTAAGGTCTGCTCAGCATAGTTGCAGTATAAACCACAGGTTGGCTCTGCGGGTGTTGAACAAACAAAATGCACATGTGCAAGTGTCTTCAATAGGGATTGGCTAGCCACCCTAGTAGATGAGTATCCTTGAATACAAGTGGCCAGCTATATATATATATATATATATATATATATATATATATATATATATATAAAAAATAATGTGTAGCAATGTTGCCATGGTAACAATAACATTTCTTTAGATTTTTCATTTGTGTTTTGAAAAGGATCACATAAAATAGCAAAATGTTGACACTTTAATAAAAAAATTTTTTTCAAAATCCAACTGGTTTTCTCATATTCTATGAGGTCAGTTTGAAAGGTCAGTTTTCTCATATTCTATGAAGGTTAGTTTGAAAGGTCAGAGGCTGACCAAGATACATAATGTAAGTAGATACACCAATTCGTAGGCAAAAAGACATGCAAGTGTACCAGAATACAACAGTTGGCCAAACAGCTGTTTCATTTTGGTACACTTCTATGTCTTTTTGTCTACTAACTGGCATGTCTTCTTAACATTTATATCTTGGTCAGCCTATAAACATTTGAGTTATTCATTTTTCATGGTTTATCAACCCATTACAGGTTATTCAAAGCCGGAAAATATTTTTTTTTAGATTGTATGAAGTTCTTTTTTCTTTGGAATAATAATGATTTAGTGACACAAGTTTTACTAATTAACCCATAGTTGGGGGAGAGAAGCAGTGGATTCATACTTTTCCTAAGGATATGTAAGTGAATATAATGAATCTAACAGGAACTAGAACTTGGCTATCCAATGAAAAATTCCAAGCCATTGTCCATTACACCACCCACACAAACAAGCTTCCAGCAGCTGGTATACTCAAGTGGTCACCCATCTAGATACTGACCTGGCTTGACATTGCTTAACTTTAGTGATCATATGGGAACCAGTGTTTTAACATTATGTGGCCGTAAGACTTTATGAACATTTTAGATGTCCCTTGTATTACTAGTAATAGATATAATAGTCTTAAGTTTGTTTTTTTTTATTTCTCAGATAAAGCACTGTCATTATTATTCATTTTTTACGAGTGTTTTACATCTTATGCCTGTTACTTCTTTATTCCCAGTAGAAGATTCAATAGTCTACAGTGATGAACGAGAAAACCAAGTCTTACCTTGGAAATTAATTTGTGTCCTCTGTGTTGTTTGTCAAATGAGAAAATCATAATCAGGTCTACTTTAGTAAGGCCTCAAAGTATGGCATCTTTTGCACTTGTCGACCAGTTTCAACCAAATACAGCCTTTCTTATCTCAATATAGAGGCACTAGTTTGGACAAGAGCAGCATTATTCTCTGTTCCTTGTAGGTAAAGTAGGCAGACATATGTTACGAGTCATGGATATGGATCTTTGACCACTTTTAATTGATGCTTCTGGTATTTTTTTTTCACTTTGGACTTGCAAGATTTATTCATGACTGTTGAAATTACAATGCTAGATTTCTCTTTTGCTATTTTCACACATGATCTTATTTCACTACAAAGAGTAAGTAATTCTAACCTACATGCAGCTAAGAGACCACGGTGTCTCACTTGCCCAGCTGGAGCGACCATTTGCAATTTAGGTAAAGTGCATATGTGGTTCTTGTGCTTTTAAAACTATCGCTAATTTGCATGTATGAGCAGCATAGATGAACAGACAGAAGGATCTACAAAACTTGACCTGTGCTGGACCAGGCTAGGCACGACTATCAACTACAGTCTTAAGTTGTTTTCTTTTCTTAGATAAAGCATCATTATTATTAATTTTTGACAAATCCTTCCTTCCTTCTGTTTCTTTAAATTTCAGTCATTATTCTATGATCTCAAGTCAAAAACTGAGAATTTTTCTTTTTTTAACAAATAGAAACTGTCTCACCTGAGTGAAAGCTTTTGTCCATTGGTCAACTAGTTGGTCAACTGATACTTGACCAGTCCGCACACGGTCCAATGCAGACTGTCCATCTGAATCAAATAAGAGTTTGGTTTGTTCCTGAATAAAGCGGTCCAAAGATTTCTTCAAATCTGTAAAAGAATAAAACTTTGTAAGAATTAAAGGAAAATGGTTCATACTTTTAAAATATGGTTTAGACCTTAAAAAAAAAAACAATAATAATAAAAACATTAATTTTTGTTTAACAATATGTCAAAAATTTTCTTTTCCTTTCTTTAATGCTGAGATATTTTTTATTATTTTAGAACATTCTCTCATTCAAATCTGAATGCATAATGCTATATTTTTATCAATGATACTTTTTTTCTGTGTGTATAAATACAAGTTTGTAAAGAAATTTGCTTATATATATATATATATATATAAATAAATAGATATACTTCTTTTTATATATATATATGTATATATATATATATACTTCTTTTTATATATATATATATATATATAAATATACTTCTTTTTATATATATATATATATATATATATATATATATATATAAATATACTTTTTTTATATATATATATATATATATAAAATAAATAAATATACTTTTTTATATATATATGAGCTATGATACAGCAAAACAGTGTCTGTGGATGACAATATATATATATAAAGAGAGAGAGAGAGAAAGAAAATTCTCTGTGTGTATCTGTGTGTGTGTGTGTGTGTGTGTGTATATATATATATATATATATATATATATATAAAATAGTGTTTATTATTTTTGTTCTAAATTCTCAAGAACATAGAAAATGTATAAATTCACTTTCATATGTTTAGATTTTATTACAATTTTAATCATTGCTTTGTAAAAGAATAAACATTGCTGAGGAGTGAAGGTAGTTAAAATAATAGTGGTGTCAAGGGAAAAAAATATTTTTTTGACCCTATTTTTTTTTTCCTGGCATGGAGTTCCAAGTTTGGTATTGGTTCTTGTCTGACTGAAAACATAATCAAAGTCCAAAGAAAGTAATTTGATGACTGAATAATGATGCCACAAATTTATATAATTAAAATATTTAGAAAAATGAAACAAAAAAAAATGTATATATATATATATATATATATATATATATATATATATATATAATCTTTGGCTTGTATTATCTTATCAAATTCTGAGCAACAACCACCTCCTTGGATTGTATCATTACCAGATACAAAGCCAAAACCTAACAACAGGCTGGATCGACATTTGTAAAAGACAGCAAAGAGATAAAATATTTATACTGTTGGAAACAAATGTACCTTGTCTTAGGACAAAAAAATAAAAAAAAATTCATTATTTACCGATCAGTTCAACCTCGAATTTACAAAAAATGCAAATCTCATCAAAAGAAAAAACTCTAAAAAGAAAAGATATTTTTTTTGAAGTTTCTCCAACAAAAAACTAAATTCATTTTCTTTTATTGTTCATACGACAAATCTTAAATAATAAAAACGTTTCCAAGTGTCTGTCTGCGAGGCCAAACAAATCAGTTGCGCAAGTCTATTAGGTTAAAACAATATTTTGCAGTTGAAAAAGAAAATGAAACAAAAAAAATGCCATGTAATTGTCTGATAATATTTGAATTTAATGGAATGCAAGAAAACTGATGCAGTAACCTACTTAATAGACAAAATAAATCTAATCTCAAAGTCTATAGACATGATTGTCCAAGTGTCTAGTAAGATTTGAATCCAATAGAAGAAAACAATGAATTTTTCATGTTTCAAGGAGAAAATGAGTTACACATGGAAATGGATTTCAAGAATAAAAACTGATTTTGAAACAAACTAAAAGGTGTCAATAAAGGGGATCATGGCTTTCAGCTAAAAAGTAGTAAATCCTATATCAATAAAAAAAAAAAAAAACTGGAAGAAAACAATATGCGTGGTGCCAATTTCAAATTTGGTGTCTGTGATTAGTGTTTGTTTTGTGGAATATAAGTAATAATTCAATTCAATGTTCTTGCTGAGAAATATGCAAAATTCCTTGAACATTTATGCATTTATAGACCATATAATATTATTATATATATATATATAGAGAGAGAGAGAGAGAGAGAGTTTTGTTTGTTTTGTTTTTTTAAATCAGTGTCTCTCCAAGCAAGGCAGTACAGCCACTAACATGCAAGGGGTTACAAGGAGTGGAGGAATTAGGAACAGAAACATTAGTAATGAGTAGAAAGAAAAAATATCAATCAGGAGGACAGTAATAGTGATTGGCATTGCATTTAAATTTTTGCAGATTAAAGTTGGCTCGAAAGCAGGGAGCCAAAAGGAAGTTCCACAAGCAAGAAGTGTGAGAAAAGAAACTATTAGCATAGAACTTATGGCTACATCTGACTAGCTCAACTGTAAATTGATGAGATCTCGATGCCAGTCTAGTATTGCACTTAAATTCATACAGTCTAGGTTCTATATTGAAGAGCTCATCCAAACAACGGCCATGAAAGTATTTGTAAAAAAGGCACATAGAGGCAACCTTATGGCAGTGGGCAAGTAACTGAAGCTGAGCCACCAGATCAGGATCAATAATATTGCTGATTCTTCTTTGGATCTTATCAAGGAGCTCCAGGTTAATAGCAGGAGCACCAGACTATATATGGCAGCAATATTCTAAGCATGGATGAATGGTAGACTTATAGATATGCAAGATAGATTCAGGAGAGAACAATTGTCTCACCTGACACAGTGAACTGACTTTCTTAATAGCTGATCTAGCAATGGATTCAATATAGTCTTTCAACTTTAGGTCAGCTGAGAACATTAGCCCAAGAAGACACAATGAGTCATTTCCCTGGAGGATAGCAAAAGCCATGCTGATGGAAAGCAGAGAGAGGGGTTTCTCAAATGATTAATAGACAAAAGTTTAGTTTACTATCGAGGCAGGAATAAAAGCTGATGTCATTGGGAGGGTCATTAATGAAGATTAAAAGCAGCATAGAATGTTAGTACAAAAGCATGTAGGCAATTGGCCATTCAGGACAACTTTCATTTCACGATTTGATAGGAATAACTGTATCAGATCAAAAATGTGCTTGGATTTATGTAACTTCTCAGCTTGTGGAGAAGACCTGAATGCCTGACCCAGTCAAAGGCTTTCAAGATGTCCAGGCCTCACCATTTTTATCTAGAGCATGATAGACTCTTTCCACAATTACTGTTAGTTCATCAGCAGCTGACCTGGAGAAATGAAAGCCATATTGCTAGTTTGAGAAAAGGTTTTGTGATGAAAGATGATGAACCAATTCAGTATTGATTAGGGCCTCTAGGAATTTTCCAAAACGAGGTAGAAAGCTGATAGGCTGATGGATGAGTCAAACGGTTCACCAGATTTCGTAAAAGCTGGAACAACAGATGATGATTTCCAGCAGGCAGGAAAGCAAGAGGCAGCGAGGCATTCATTATACAGTTTAGAGAGAACAGGAGTCAGTTCGGAAGCACACTGTTTAATGACTATAGCAGGAATACCATTGGGTCCACAAACTTTGCAGGGATCAAAGTTAAAGATGACAGCAGAAACCATGGAAAGGGTTATATGCATATCACTCAACAGAGAATCAGTTCTAAGTAGGAAGTTAGGCATGGATACTCCAGATGAGTCATGAGTAGAGCTTGAGGAGAATTTATGGGCAAAACATTCAGCTTTATCAGCAAAGGATGATAACACCTCAAACTGGTTGAAGAGTGGGGAATAGAGGCCATGCACTTATTTAGTACCTTATTACAGAAACACCAGTAATTGCGAGAGCCACAGTTTTTAGATGCTATGCAGGACTTGCTTACATTTGTTATGAGCATTAGCAAATAGGCACCTGTTATGATAAGAGCTGTCATTCTGGTATAGCTGGAAATAGTGGTTGCTGTGTGCTATGGCAGCTGAGCATGCTGGTGTGAACCATAGAGAGGATTGCATTTTCTCCTGGTATTTCCAAGAAGGGATGAAAGTGTCCACGCCAGCTTTGACCCAAGAAGAAACCGCAGTGGTGCAATTTTGAGAGGTTGAAGATGTCTGGCCAAAAGGTGTCACAAAAAAAATCCTGGAATGAGTTCCAATCAACATGCTGGTAACAAAAAGGTCTTATGGATAGGGGGTTCTTGTTTAATGGAATCTTGGAAGTATATATCAATAGCTACCACAATGTGGTCCGAGTTATCAAGAGGGCAGTATTGCGAAGCACAACAAGAGCAAGGAGAAGAAGTAAGAAATAGATCCTTTAAAGAAGCCTATTATTCGGTATGGCTAGGAAAAGCAGTAGGAAAGTACATAATTTGAGTGAGAGATTGGGCAATGGAAAAATTTAATGTCTGTATACTGGCAACATCAGTACCTTTTAGAATGTTTCAGCTATGTGTTGTGGTGAGCATTAAAGTCACTGAAGGCAAAGATGTTTGTAGATGGATGGAGAGAAAGTGCCTTTTCTATACTGTCAGCTATTGCATCTAATATACTGCAGTCTTGGGAAGAGAGGGAGCTATAAAGAAAAAAGATAGCTGTCAGAGTTTAGTAGCAAAAAACGAAAGCACATGAAAGAGTAGTCAGTGACCTTGAGAGACAATTCCCTGACCACCGGAAGATTATCCTAGTTGTAAACACCAAGGCCATGTATGGGAACACTGGGATCTTTTCGGCAAAGGGGAAGATACCCTGAAACCAAAAATTCATTGATAGCAATGGAAGAATTCAAGTTGGTTTCATAAAGGGAAAAGATATCTGGCAACTTTTCCAGGAAGTTTTTTTTTTTCTACACTGCAGAAGTTGGAATGAATATTCAAGAAAGAAAGACTGAGAGGGCAGGTGGTTTTTTTATAAGCTGGTTTAGTTTTATTTCTTATAGTTGCGATTTCCACGAGATATGTTTTGTAAAGAGAGAAAAAAGACCACCATAACTGTACTCTTCCAAGGATGAATGTAGTATCTTTGCACTCTTCCTAAGATCAATTTATCATCTGCACAC